GTTTTAGGTAGGATGCCTGATTGGTTCATGTTTAAACTCATATTACTGTTAACCATTTAGTGGATAGGTTAGCTTTTAGCAAGATAGTTGAGGCTAGAGTGTTTAGGCCTCAGTTAGTTTCTCTGCTGGTATGTGCTGATGAGGAGAGAGTTGTTGGTTTAGTTCTGCCTGAACGCATGACAGGTTGGAATGTCACTTGTGTTGTCACCATAATTCTGTTGGGAGCAGTTGATATATGGTTGGTCAACTAGGATTGAGAGCTTTCATCTAAAAATGTTTGGAATTAGTGTGTGTTGGTTTAGCATGAAGATTGCATTTGTGTTATAAAGTGCATATTGTCATGAGATTTGTGGATTGGTTGTGGTCATCAATTTTACATACATAATTGGCATTGAGTTCATGCTCAGTTGCTGTCAAATCTGTTCTTTTCATAAAATTGTTTGGATTTAGCAATTGTCATTTTTTTTACAATCATTTGTTGCTAGAAATACTCACATGTGTGTTTTTTGAAACCCTTAATGCTTGAGGCTGGAGTTTGATATTATGATAGCACAAGCTGTTATTGTCATGAGATAAGGAAAAGGCTGTTTTCATGAGCCTGTGTGGATTTACCAATAGACTAAGATTTCAGTTTTATCTGTCATAGCTTGTTTTTGATATTTAGCCTGTTGTCCAAATTGTTGAGAGGTAAACCAATTTAGTTCCCACAATGACCTTGTTTAATCTCTTTTTGGCTAGTGTTTGATGAAGAGTAGGAGCAGGTCTGAACTTGTTAGGATTTGTTGGTTAGGTTTAGGTTCAGCCTTTTGATATTTGTCAAGTAGTGTGATGCCCTTACAATCATATCTGCCATGGTATACCAGTTGGAGTCATTGACCACATTGATTTGAGGTTTGTGTCAACATTCTGCTGGGAACCAATCATCAGTGGTTTGGTATCATCCTTTATCCATCTCAGTCAGTTTACTAGGATTCATAGTCTAGGTTCATAGCTAGTTTTCACTTGAAACAGTTGGGATTCATGTGTTTGGCTTTGGTTGGTTAAAACTCTGATGGTTGAATTAGTTGGTCAACTTATACTTGCTGTTAGAATTTGGTTTTCAGGCTCAAACTTATTCTTATTGGTTTTGATGAGTAGTCAACTTTCATTTAAAAACAACATAAGGATTTGGTGTTTGTGCTTGGCATGGTAATGATCAACTGTCACTATCATTTGTGAAGTTTTGCAACTGTTATGGTAGAATTGTGAGTAGATCTGTCTAGCCTAGATATGTTTGTATTGGAGGCTGACTATGAAGGATATTTGGTTGCATTGTAATTGTTTGCTTCTGTTTTCAAAATACTTTTGTTTGGCTTGCTTTTATCTTACTTTTGGGGCTATGCTGTTGGAATTCATCAATGAGAAATGTTTGAAATACCAAGTACTGGCTGCTAGTTTCTCCCTTGAAAGTGGTTAATCATGATGCCATCAAGTTTAATCTTAAACTGTTGCACTTTTTTGAGTTTATTCAGCTTGTGGATTTTTGGTTAAAAAGTTGCTCTGAGCATTGCAATGATGGTGCATGTTCTATTTCAAAGAAGAAACCATTACACTATGTTGACAGTTGGATGATCACATTATGATCCATAACAGAAACTCATTTCTCCTCCCAAAATTATCCCTGAGGTTTGTATTCACAACCTGCACAGCCCTTTGTTTGATCTTGAAGAATTTGTTTTGATCATCTTGTGTTGTTCATAGGCAACTCATACTCATTAATACAACTCATATACTAATTTTGTATTCTATTGTCTTTGAACAAATCTTTCTGTTGGAACTCATCCCATACTACATTTGAAAATTGCTCAGACCCTTGCTTGCACTAAAATGCACCTATTTTGACCTTATCACTCCAAAATGCATTTCAAATTCTCTCCTTGCATGTTCTATCGTGTTTTAATTTGTGTAAATTTTCTCCAAATTTGGTTGATACCATTATGTTCCTCATGAAATTTCAAGCAGGTTTGACTTTTATTTCATGAAAATTGGTTATGTTTTGAGGAAGTTTAGATTCAAATCATTTTGGAATTTCCACTTGAGTTGCCTCGAAGAAGTTTGCCCAAAATTTATGCTTTGTTAAGTACATATGCAAATAGGGTGGCATAATACACGGATGTATCGCCACCCGAGTGGTTAACGCCTTGCCTTTAAGTATCTTGTAATGCCAATGACCTCTGTTCGAGCCTCAGCGAGGCCACTTTTTATTAAAGTTTATGATTTTTATAGTTTTAATGTTTTTACTTCTTTTTCCCTTATTTTTCACGCGTGTGGAAATGGTTGGGATGGTCATGTTTTGAGCCTGTGACCCCAAGGTCTTGGGTTCAAGCTTTGGGTGAGGCATTTCTTTATTTTTAGCACTTGTTTTATTTTATTTTATTTTATTCCATTTAAATTTCAAATTTCCATAACTTCTTCATTTTTACTCTTTTTTAAGTGATTATTTTTTCCAAATTCTTGTTTTAATGTGTATTTTCATATGATGATTAAAGAATTCTAAAATTCTTATTTTAGAAACACTTTTCATTATGGGTAAATATTAAATCATTTTAGGGTTTTCACCCTCCTATCTCTCATTTTCAAACTTTGATTGTATTCCTCTTTGAGTTTAATTTAAAGATGACATGAACTTGGCTTATTGTATCCCTTGTGCATTTAAGTTTGAATTTCAACTTTGCTTGTACACATTTACGTGATTCGCCTTTAAAAACTGTTGATTATCCCCTTGAGGTTTTGAGCCTTCTGTTTACATTGTGTGACATTGTTGGTTTATGTATGATATCCTTCATTTGCCCTTTTGTTCTAACCTTAGGATCCGAGTCTCCGTACTCACTTTTAGCGTCCCGCCGTGGACATCTTTTACCCTTTTATCCTAGCCCTAGGATTTGAGTCACCATGCTCACTTTTAGCGTCCCGCCATGGACATTCTTTACCATAACAATCTCAACGTAGATTCAGGAGTCGCCGCATTCCATGTAAGTACTTCCCTATGAATGCTTACATCCCCTTGGAACCTTGACCACAATCAAGAGTTCCTCACCCCCACCAGGGGAACTACGAACGCTCTGATTTCTTATTTATTGATGAGAATACGTAGGCACAAGATGTGACGTCTTGGCGAGCCAACTTCACTTTTTTCCAACCTTTTCTTTCTCCCTCACTAACAACTAACTTCCTGTTAACATTTACAACTTAGAATCGGAGTTGCCGTGCTCTATTTATTCGTCCCGCCGTGGACATTCCCCGTGTTTACCTTTGCAACTTAGGCTTGGAGTCGTCGTGCTCTACTTAGTCGTCCCGCCGTGGACCTTCCCTTCTTTGCTAACTTAACTTTAGTTTAGAGTCGCCGCACTCTATGTAAGTGTCTCGCCATAGACATTTACTTTCCCTTTGGGACCTTGACCATAATCAAGGGTTCCTTACCCCTAACCAGGGGAACTTCGGTTGCTCTGATTCCATTCCCGTCAGGATACGTAGGCATGAGATGCGATGTCTTCGCGAGCATACTTTACCATACTTTGTACAAACTTTCACTACAAGAAAATTAGAAAATTGCGACGGTTCATTTTGATAGATTACGACGGTTTTAACCGTCGCAATTTGTAAGTTACGACGGTTTCAACCCCATCGCGAAAACGTGCGTCGCGAGGCCATATTGCGACGGTTGTGAAAACTGTCGTACAAACAGTCGTTATTTTCACGACGGGTAGCTAACTGTCATAATCTCCATATTGTGACGGTTTTCAACCGTCTTAATGATTTTTGTTTTCATTATTGATTGCAAAAGTATATTGTGGCGGTTTGAACTGCCGCAAGTTGCAAATTTTTTTTTATAAAAACTATGGTATATTGTGGCGGTTTGAACCGTCGCAAGTTGCAAATATTTTTTTTAAAAAAATCTGCACTCAGTTTAGGATTCATATTATTTTACTAATATTTGGAGCAGAAAGATTATGGATCTGTGTGATAATATATGTAGAGAACACAATTTATTTATTAATCATCCACTGAAAATATCATAAGGCTGCTTATTATATGCTTATATTATAAGTGTAGTTCACTTTACACACATTCTCATGTCACATATTAACACATCAATCAAGGAAAACTATCATAATAAACAACTACAGAGAAACCATAGTTTTCAGAACGTCTTCTATCATACGCAAACAATTATATGCCTTATGACTGAATATATTATCCAACTTCCACACCGACAATAGCAACCATGCAGACAAACAATAATGGAAAGCCTTTCTGAACTTTCGCGTTACTTTTCCTCTTCAATGCCTCCTAACAAAACAAAAGAAATATGATATCAAGTATTGAAAAATATCATTGATCAATCATCTTCGTCAATAGAAAATGTATTGCAGCTCAAAACATAACTTCACTACTTTAAAGAATAAGATATATACATGGAAACAGGAATGCAATGGCTAAGACCAGGAAGCTGCAACGGAATCGTAGATTCACATTCTTTTAGTTGTGCAGCTTCATCAATTACTAAAAATTTCACTGGAGTCATTCCTAATGTGTACAGTTTACCAGAACTTGAAGCTGCACATAAAATAAGACATGTGTTTGACAAACAAAATTCTTCTATATCACGTTTCATATAAATACCAGGTAGAGAAATTGAGGAAGATAGCAAACTTATAATGCATAATATCTCATCCCTTTTCTCAAGTCCAAAGCAATCAGACACAAATTTTTCTTCAAGGTCAAAAAGAGTTGGCTTGAATATGCATTGACTCAAGTTAATCAGTCCAACTGTTCCAAAAGGATATATATTAACTATACTACTTATAATATAATATAGAAATTGTTAACTCATCACTATGAGCAAATACAGAGTACAAAATCCACCAATCAACCATACTGATTCTATGAAACTTTGATAATTTTTGTTTACCTTTCGTTTGGTGTTACAGAATATAACAGCTTGAGTGATGGTGAGAGTATCATAAATCCTGTATATCCAATGAAAATTTCAGGTTAAGAGATAAGTCCTGTATATCTCTCAATGAATCACCGGGTGATTCTTCTGATTCTGAACTTTCACCTCCATCCTCGCTACGCTGCCATTGAGGATGCCTTGGCTTGCAAGTGGCTATTTTAGACAGGTAAGTCTTGCAATGCTCAAGCCAAGAAAATAAATGAATATTATTCAACCCATTCTGTGTACATTTTGCCCACAGTTGCTTGTTGCTAACAAGTTTCAAAAGAGCATCTGCAATAGACTTCTCATCATGGGGATCTATAAGCAGACCATTATCGAACACCTGTAACGATAATCAATTAATCAACCATGTTTCCACAGGAACCTTTACAGATCAATACATAACATAACCACTAATCAATAAACATACTCGATGAATATCAACAGGACATCCATTTTTAGTAGCAACCATTGTGCCATGAGTCTATCACATGAGGATCTTTATTAGCTTCTCTATAAAAAAATTCACATGTTCAATACAAGTTGCAAAGGTCCCGAATTCGATGGATCCATCATGAATATCAATATTTATATCTGCGACACATCAATACCCCTAATAGAAATAGTGTTTTCATTTTTCTCTAAGTAAATATTAGCAATAATCTAAATTCATGTTTACTACAAAGTTGCAATCATTTTTTTAGCCTGCATTTGCTTCTGTGTTCAAAAAGTCTTCACCGCATGCTAAATTTGGAGCATATTTAATTCTAATAGGAAGACATTCAGTTTTCAAACAACAATAGGCTGGTCTTTATCTTTGTCCCCTGAGAGATTCAGTCTAGTCCATTTGACATGCCATGTCAAAAGTAAGAGCATTCCAGTTTGACACACAAGGCCACAAATCAGACCAATCCGTAAACCTTATATCATAAACCAAATTTAAGAGAAAACCTGGTGAATAAACAAATTAATGAAAAATCAAGATAATTTCTCTAAATATAAACTAAATATGTCTACTTACTTACTTTATGCTTATATTTAAAACAAGATGGAGAAACTATTATACCTTATATTGCAAATTGGTCTTAAATCCGAGAAAACATGAAATTGGTAAGCCAATGAGATAAAAAGTTGCAAGGTTGACATAAACAGCTAAATGCTGCCAATCACATCCTCTAGCCACTCTTGCATTATTTAAGACGTGTTTACTCCTAAGAGTGTCTGTTAAAGATCAAGTTGTGGAGAATAAGTTAAAAGAGAAAGAATTCAAACCTGATAAGACACCTTGGACAGACTCTAGTAGTATGGAAATAGCAAGCAAGGGTGTTATTGAAGCAAATTCATCTTTGATAATAGGACTATTACTAAACAGCTGAATCCATATATCATGACCAAATATAAGTAACAAAACAAACCCGAATCCAAGGAGAAGAGAGAGCTTTAGAGTGACTCTCATTGCATGTTTAGCTTTTTCTGGTTGGCCTGCTCCCAATTCATTGGAAACTCTTGTGCTATAAAAGTTAATTTCAAACCTTTCAATAAAGTACAAGAACATATACTAAATGCATATGTTGAAAGGTAAATCTAATTAGCCCTCTCTAACTCCATAACCTCTCGATTTATACATGATAATCCTAACAACCCCATTAATTAATAATTTCCCTAACTCCTTACCTCATATCCTAACAAAACTCCCCTTTTAACCTGTATAATAACAATAAAGCCCTTCTCAAAACAATTTCGTCCACGAGACTAAATTCTACTTGTTTCCTTGGTTGTAAAAAAACAAAAGTATGTCTCTTGGATCCCATGTTTAGAGCTTGATAAACCAGTTTCTGTTTTAGTCCACTTCATTTTTCCCAGTTGTGCACTTTCCAGCCATAGCAGCCAACCCAGAACAAGCCTTCCCACACACGTTAGGTGCAACTTCAGCTTGGTGTCAAAACAAGCATACAATCGGGCTAGATGTTCTTTGGGGTAGGCCCATTGGGTTTATTGTGATGCTCACTCATAGAATGTACCTTCTTTCCCCTACTGATCTAAAAAAAAATACTGTTTTGTGTAATACTGGCAAACGAGCACAGTTACCACCTTATCATGTGCTTCCAATTTCAAACTGAGCCAATGAACCTGCCTCCTAAAACAAATGGATAGAAGAGAAACACATGCAGAACATATAACCTTCTTTGGGTACTCCCTTGATTGTTCCAATCTTTCTGGCGGGGGTACTCCCTTTTTTGAATTCATAGGAAGAACTATTTTATTTAAAGATAACAGAAGGATGAAAAGATAGAGAAATGATTGGAGAGAAAACTCTCCTCCAACAGTTCCCCTTCCAGTCACTACTCTATTCACAAAAGTTTACAATATTCAATGATGCTCTCTGCCTTTAACTCCATAACCTCCCTATTTTAACATGATAATTCTAACTACCCCAATTACTAAAATCTTCCCTCGCTAATTCCATATAAAATATCCTAACAAACTTCTTCTTATCCTATATCCTAACACTAATTGTAGTACATAGACATAAGCAAATTTTGTAGAGTATGTATCCTATGTCCTACAAGAATCTAAGGATCTATGGTTATAGAAAATATTTTATGTTCTCAAATGTGTAAGACAATAAGAAAAAGTCATTTTTACTCTTTCACAATAGGAAACAGTGAATGCAACATGACAACTTTGTGATTAAAAATAAGTGTGAAATCTAAAAATGAAAACATGAGCATGTTTAGTTTAAGTAAACATTTTTTGTTTTTATTTTCTATTTTCATTTTCAATTGCAAAATTGCCCTTGCTTTCATTCCCTTTCCTATTTTTAAAGAATTGTACAAGAAATATTGAAAGCTAAATATAAATGTTTGAAAACAGAAACTAAGCGACTGCTTTGCCAATAAAAATGAAATCTGGAATCATTTTCTCAAACCAAAAAAGGCACATTTTCTCCAGGGTGTACTGAGGTATGTTTAGACTTGTGATGTTCTCATTAATACACATACAGACAAACACTCGCGCACCTTTATGCAAGTCATACTTTTAAATAAGGGAAATACTAGAAAATTTAGAAAATCTAAGATAATACTTGCATTTTCCATGTAAACTGATTCTAATAACTGACTCAGTCCTTTAGCGGATTTCCCTGAAATTGGTTTGATTTGACCACCCCCATTTAAGCAACCTGCATCAATGACCATTATTTTCAGTTAATACCTACTTAATTTCTGAGACTCTGGAAAAAAATTAATATTGAGAATCACTATAAAAACAACAAATTAATGCAACTCCAGATAATTGAGAAGCATGGTACCTGAAGGGCATGCCATGATTTCCAGGAAATGATAATCATATTTCCCTGTTTTAAGTTTTCGTACAATGTTTTGCAAATTCCGGAAACCATAACAGAGATAAAATTTCAACATTGTTTCTCCCTCCACCTGTATAGACAATAAGGTTTAGAACAGTAAGCATGAGTAGTGCTGGACTTCTCAAAATAGGATGCAGGCACTCTTGGAAGAAACCAATATTTATCTATCCATTATTGTTACATTAAAGAGGTATCAGTTTGATATGGACCCAACATAGCCAAACAACCCAATAAGATATCATATTCTAAGCTGGAATTGGATAATCTAAAATAAGAATAAATCTCTAAATAATAAGAACTAACTCCGATTTATAAACCCTGGTTTAAAACTAACAGCCCAATCTTAACAACAATGTGAAATGACATTTTCTAAAATATGAAGAACATACACCCAGAGAAACAAACTCTGGCTATAATGGACAACAATCCCTTAAAATTTATCTTGATAACATCAAGCAGAGATTGGGGCAGGAACCGCTCTGCTCCGCTACCTACTATTTATCCTATAGCGACCGCTATAGTGTTCTGCTGAGAATCTTCACCGTCATCTTCTTCCAATTCTCACTACATGCTGAGAATCTTTTTACTCTTCTTAACAACACAAATAACATTCTCATCTTCTATAAGAATTTATCAACATTATTGAGATAAAAACAAAAATATTTAAAATTTGGGGTTTCAATTTGAATGATTATATTTTTCAACCAAGGATATATATATACATATGAATAGAAGCTAACCATCGAGACAAACGATGTTGGTCTGAACGCCACTGTAATCAAACAAAGGCTTGAGTTTTTCGATTTCTCTCTGCAAAGTGGAGAAAAAATTGCAAATTTAAGATTTGAAATCGAAAGAGGAACCCTAATAATTTGAAATTGAGTACGAGAGGCTTACCGACATTGTCGACCTTTCTCAATAGTTGGATGTCGATTGTGGTTCCACATAATCACAAGTCACTCTCCCGCTTCCAAATTGAAATCGACGACGATTATGACGTGAAAGGGGTACTAAGTAGCCGAGCAAATAGCAACTGCACCTGGAGAGAAAGAGAAGACTATCAAAGGTTTATTCCCCCATTTTAACAAAACGGGGTTATTAGTATTTGTCAAAAAAGATAAGTTTGAAATGTTAATATATATATATATATATATATATATATATATATATATATATATATATATATATATATATATATATATATATATATATATATATATATATATATATATATATATATATATATATATATATATATATATATATATATATATATATATATATATATATATATATATATATATATATATATATATATATATATATATATATATATATATATATATATATATATATATATATATATATATATATATATATATATATATATATATATATATATATATATATATATATATATATATATATATAATTAACTAAAATGGGGTTATTAGTATTCCCCCATTGTTACTAAAACTAATTTTAATAAAAGTTAACTATTTATATAATAAAACAGAAAATATTTTACTATTATTTTAGACAAAAATATTAAACTACATTGTCATAAAAATTATAATAATTATTTATTAAATTAATTGATAAAATTGAAAAGGTTAGAAAATAAAAATGAAAAAAAATGGAAAGTTAAAGGAATAAAAAAAATAGTGATTATGATTGGTTAAAGTAATTGCGACAGTTCGCCTTAACTGTCGCGAGTGTGGAAAGAGGGTGGTTATTTGGTACCTGTCGCATTATTTTATACAACATGCCTAAAAAATTTGCGACGGTTGGCTCAAACCGTCGTGAGAACTGTTGTAGTCCAGGAATAAGGACGGTTTTTTGATAACTGTCGCAAAAAATCTACGACAGTTGACCCTAACTGTCGTGACAACCGTCGCAATCCAGGAATAAGGACGGTTTTGTGATAACTGTCGCAACTCAAGTGTCGTAAATCTCCTTTTTTCTTGTAGTGTTTGTATATACTTTATATCTTTACCCTTAGCACATTCCCTTTAGCAAGAAAACTTTAGAATAGCACAAATATTAACAAGAGGTTCCTGTAGAGTACTACAGATGTTTAGGATGTGAAATACCTACCCTAGGCA